ATTATAGCCAAGACAAAGAGGGTGGTGGGGGTTAGGAATAATGAACTTCCGAGAAAGGAAAATTCTTACACTTAACATAAGCAACCTAAGAGAATAAGAAAGGTAAAAGGTTAAGATTAACAAAAATTTACATTAGATTTACGTGATCTGGAATAACAGAAAAAATCTAAATGCAATTCCTCCTTAACCCCTAAGATCACAAGAAACAACAAATTACACTAAAAAGGATCCAAAAACCCCAATTCGTTACCCAATCAATACATACACCATAATCTCCTCAAAAAAGAAGCGTAAACTCGAAATTTGAAACTAAAATGGGAATTAGATTGAACAAACAAATTAAAATATAGCCTCGACTTATCAATACCTTGAAGAAACAACAGGTTTTGGAGGTTCGGTGTGCATTGAGAGTTTGCGGAATCGAAGTGAAAATGAGGATGGCAAAGGGTTGCGCAATAATAAAAGAAAAATAAAGAAAAAATCGAGGAATTGAGTCGGAATTATCGAGGGCGTCGCCGGCCGGAGAAGAGGAATTTAGATTGTCAGGGGAGCACTGCGAATTCTGTACGGGGGTTTGGAGGCGGCAAAACACGCAGATTAGCCCCTGTGGTGGCAGATCACCCCCTCAAGTCAGTTCACGCGCAAAAGAACCCCTTAACTCGTCCTAGGTGGCAAATCAACCCCTCTATGTAACATGACGTCACTAATCTGTTAAAACATAACGTTTCCCTCATCATGTTCCGTTCTGTGTCTGACCTAGATTTTTTTTTCTGAGATGGATGCTTTGTCTTTCATTACATTCCTATCTGATTGCCAGAGAGGATGAATTTCTGCAGATTCCGAACAGCGAAAATTGAGCCTTTAGCAGCTAGTGTAAGCCCACCCAAGTTCAGATTTTATTGTCCATAAATACCCAAAGTCAGATTAGATCACCGGGCCTAATACCCAAATACCTCCTCTACTTTTCTTCTCAGAAACTATTCCTTAATGATTATCTTCTCCCTCAATCTCTCCCTTGCTCTGAAATGGAATCATCACTACCAGCAGCACAATCACCCAAATCTCCATCGTCTCCGTCCACTACCACTTCCTCCACCGGTAACTGCTACAACTGTTGAGGCCCTACCTCCTTTGCGCCACCTCCCCAATCCCCTATCGGTTGGCTGGAACTATCGCCTCCCCCAAACTACAGAGGAATCTGGGCTCCAGCTATTAATCTGCCTCCTAATAACAACTCCGAAGTGATCATCCTTGCTCCTGTGCCTCAATCCCAAAAGGTCCCATCCATTTCTCCTCCCTTCCGCTTCTAATCACCTTCCAAGGAAATCCACTCCCCCGCCGACATTCGCCAGTTTCATGAATCGAAAACATGAAAGAACTTACTCACTTCGTTGTCACCCTCTCAGAATCAATTCGTGGCCACAAGATCTCCGATATGTGCCACGAATCCTCCACCACCACTAAAATCGCCTCTGTCCATGAAATCTTAATCCATTGGATCGATGAAATTCCTTCGGTTCAACAATCGTCTCACTACGGTAACATCTCCTACAGAACTTGGCACGAGTGGATAGGAATTTCCCGATCTGTTCATGCCTTCTTTTTGTTTTTGGTTATATGGAGATCGCGATTGTGCTGTTTAGATGCAGAAACAAAAGCAAAGGAAGAATACAGTCAAAAGTTGCAGGAATTGCAAGCAGAGGTAGCTTCATGTAATGAATCGCGAGAAAAGCTCCAAAGAAAGGTTAGTAATAAAAGACAACGCATCTATCTCGGTAAAAAAAATCCAGATTAGATGCAGAGGAGGGGATGATGAGCGAAACGTTAAGTTTTAACGGATTAGTGACGTCATGTTACACAGAGGGGCTGATTTGCCACCTAAGACGAGTTAAGGGGTTCTTTTGCGCGTGAACTGACTTGAGGGGGTGATCTGCCACCACACGACGAGTTGAGGGGCTAATCTGCATGTTTTGCC